CACAAGAAAAATGTGTTCATTATTTAGAATGTGTATAGAGAGGTCTTAGGAATAACAGTCTTTTCTGAAAAGCAGCAATACTACTCAGTATCAGAGGTCTCTTTTATCTGAGGATATCAAAGTACTTCTTTTTAAACAATGTTTTCTTATGTTCACATATACAGGAAGGCTTACAAATGTGTAGCAAAAGGGCATATACTCAGGCACTTCTCCAAACTAGGAGCAATGCCAGAGGAAGACTAGACCCTGTTCAATCTTTGCTGAGGGCTCGCTGTCCCCTGTCCCCTCTCTCAGTAACTAATTCTGATGTGGGAAAGTCCCACCTGCTCTTGACTGTTGACTCTGCTGGTGGGTTCCCACCAACTAGGGTTTCTAAGCTGGAGGAATGATGCTCACTTCTTTGTTCAGATGCTTTCCCACAAGCCATTATTTGTAAGGGCAACAAATGATGGCATTCTCATCAACAGCTATGGAATGCTAGTAGATTTTAGTCTTTGAGACATTTTCGGATTGAATCATCTGACTCTACTCCTATCAGAGAGAGCACCTGGGCAGGTCCCAGACAGTAGCTAGTAACTGTCACTTGCCCGGTGGCCTTAATTAGGTGTTGTACCTGCCAAAGTACCTGAGCAGCTATTTCTACTTACACAGCACCTGAACTGGGTGCTAACTTGTGGCTTTGGAGATAGCTGTCATTCGGGCTAACATTTACTGAGTGCTCACTAGGTGCCAGGCACTGGGCTCCATGTGATTATCTTAGTCTCGCATTAAGCATATCCAGTAGGTACTGTTATTAACCTCAGTTGACCGATGAGAAAATGGAGGCTCCAAGATATCAAGTAACTTGGCCAGTATCTCACGGCAGGTAAGCAGTGGAGCCTAGCCACATTCACCAGGATCAGCTACATAATGTGTAGGGCCCGGCGCAAAATGAAAATGTGGTCCCTTGCTAAAAAATGATTAAGAACGTCAAAATGGCAACAGCAGATCAATAAACCAAGCACGGGGCCCTTAGTGTGGGTACACAGATTTCACCCCCAGAAAGCCGGTTTAGCACACATAGACATTCTGGGTCTAGAACGCACACTCTTAACCAGATAACAGGGTTGAACAGCACGTGGTTTGGCAAAGGTCTGGCTTTGGAATGTAAATAGCAAATGGAAGTGTTACACATGAGCTACTCAGGCAGCCTTCTTTTTTTTTTTTTTTTAAGATTTTATTTATTTATGTGACAGAGAGAGACACAGCGAGAGAGGAAACACAAGCAGGGGGAGTGGGAGAGGGAGAAGCAGGCTTCCCTCAGAGCAGGGAGCCCGATGCGGGGCTCGATCCCAGGACCCTGGGATCACGACCTGAGCTGAAGCAGACACTTAACGACTGAGCCACCCAGGCGCCCAGGCAGCCTTCTATAAACACCAGCTTTCTCTTCAAAAAGGGCCTGGAACTGTTTTCTGGCCAAAGGTAAACACAGCAAAGCCCTGCCGTGGTCCTTCTCATTCATAACAGACACTCCTTGCCGGGCTGGTCCACTCTGGCCAAGAGTCACTCTTTCGACTTCTTTTGCTTTCCTTAAAGCCAGTTTTCATGTTCTAGGCTAGTTCTCCCTGACCAATTGCCTTTCTCACTGCCGTGTCGCCCCATCTCATTTCCCAGATGTTGCTGCCCCTAGCCACACCGAGAGACGCCCACACCCCAAATGCAACGGTGGGCCCATCCAAATCGTGGAGCCGGCCCCACTGGTGGTACAGACATTCTGTTCCTTGGCCTGGCACTGTGGGAGAACAGCGGAGTTTCCAGAGGGAAGACAGGAACCAATCATCTGTTTTCTCCTGGGGCTTAGTTTTCCTGGAGACATATTGCTCAGAAGTGATTCCTTCCTACAGAAAACCCTGGGCAAGATGATAATTGCTAATACTTACCAAGTATTGTGTCATGATTTGTGTCATGATTTACATGTATTTAATCTCCATGGGCAACTCATACTTCGCATGTAACCCATTCCATCTTTTTTTTTTTTTTTACTAAATATTTATTTGTGTGTTTTTTTTGGGGGGGGAGGGGTAGAGGGAGAGAGAGAATCCCAAGCAAACTCCATACTGATCGCGGAGCCTGACGTGGTAGGGCTTGATTCCATGACCCTGAGATCACGACCTGAGCTGAAACCAAGAGTCAGTGCCTAACCGACTGAGCCACCCAGGCGCTCCTCATTTCATCTTTAATAGCAAAAGGCAGGTGCTATCTTTAGCCCCATGTCAGAGGAGGAGAGTGAGGCAGAAAGGTTAGGGAAATCCTCAAGATCCGAGAGTCAGGAAGTAGAAGCGTCAGAACAGGAAGCCCTGCAGTCTCCAGTCTTGAGCCTATATGACCACGACCCCCTCCTTCAAAGTTCTGCCAAGGATCCTTGATGGATGGGCAGAACAGTCTAACAGGCTCAGTAAAGTAGAGCCAAATATCCAGGCATGTGGCCCTCCCATTGCCTCAGAGCAAAGCTCCAAAATGTTAAAAGTCTAGAATGACAGGGTTGAGGGGTCCACTGGGACAGCTTTTCCATATAGTTCATCAGAGGCAAGGGACACACACACACATACACACACGTGTACACACACACACAATGCACAAACACAGCGTTACTCAAGAATGGCAATTACCTTATGCCCAGTATGAAGTGATGGCCTTAAATATATTTAAAGATTTATTTGAATATTAGTGGATTTTACTTCACTGGTGTCCTTACCCAAGAGCTTTGGTTTAACTTTATCTTAGTGTTCTAGTCTGTGAAACACTGAATAAATAAGGAGCCAATTGTAGTAATAATACTGCTAGTAGTAATACTACTTTGCATTTGTATGGTCCTTTACAGTTCACTGATTTTTCCACATGATCCTCAAACCCCTCTAAGGCTGGGATCTGTGGAGGTTAAGTGACTCTGGGGACAACCAGGTGGAGTGAGGTGGAATTGGATCTGGACCCTCTGTCTTCTCTCTTCTTTGTCATGCCCCTTGGATGACACCAGGAAATTCCCTGAATACAGTCCTTACCCAGGCAGTGGGGCAGGTCCTCACCAAAAGCTGGGGGAAGAGTGTGCACCTCTTGTTGGGGCTAATGAGATGCCTGTTCAGCAATTGTTTGCCTGTGCTGTGTCTACAACATGTTTCCTTCTGAGATATTGAGACGAAAAGAAAACCTACCTTCCCTCACAGTGATCAGGCAACTCTGAGACAGTCAAGCAAGAGTCATAGATGTTTCTGTAGGTCCCCATTGACCTGTGTGAAGTGAAGCTGTGTAGGCACTTATTCCCTTTTCAGCGTCAATCAGATTATTCTAGAGGGCAACACTTAGAAAAATGTTTTTTTTTTAAAGATTTTATTTATTCATTCATTCAAGAGAGAGGGAGAGCGAGCATGAGCAGGGGAGGGTGCAAGGGAGAGGGAGAAGCAGATTCCCTGCTGAGCAGGGAGGCTGACATGGGGCTCGATCCCAGGACCTTGGGATCATGATCTGAGCCGAAGGCAGACGCTTAACCAACTGAGCCACCCAGGCGCCCCTAGAAAAATGGTTTTGTCCAAGTTCCTGAAAGCACCTGAAAAAAGTTCCAAGAGTCTCTTTTGCACAATTAAGTGAAAATGGTGCTGAGTAAAAGGAATGTAAGATGAGGAAGGCTTGCCTGAACACTCATTTGAGAAATGGAAACTGTAATTTAGATAATTCATGATAAAAGTTTTGAATGATTCTGACAAGAAAATTGAAAAGGAAGATGGCCAGGTGACGCATCACCCAAAAGCAGACAGCAGCAGCGAGAGTTTTCTAGGCTCATCGGAGGTTCGGGATGGGGCAGTATCGACATTGGCCTTGGCTGTGCCGCATCCCTAACATGCTCACAGCCTTGAACCCAGTAACTCACTCATCGCATGGATTTAGAAACAGGCCCCACCTGAGTTACCCTAATATGGGAGAACAGTTGGGTGACTATCCAGATGCTAGTTAGCATAACATTGCAGTACTCATTGGCATGAAACTGAATATCAAGCAATTTAGATTCTCATTTCTCTATATATCATGCCAATACCATAGCCTTTTTTTCCCAGCACCACTTCCGTTAGCCCCATCCATATAGAGGAAGCCCACTGCTCACTATACAGAAGTTACTTACATAATTGCAGAATTCTTAAGAATGCAGATGTTGGTGTTTTCAAGCACTATTTGAAATACATATCATAGACATGGCTATAAAAAGATTCTTTTATATTCAAACATCCATTCCACCAATAAACATATATTTAGCGCCTGATAGCCCTTGATGAAAGAAGCTGGTGGGAAGAGAGGCAGGACCCAGACACGAAGCAAAGTTCCCAGTAAAGAGAAAAAGAGCCAAGTAGAGCTAAACATCACTGTCAATGCGGGAAGAGGCACCGTTTTCTTTCCCTGCTCTTCTGTTTTCAGGCTTCTCAGGGTAGGGCTGTATGATCCATGAGTCCTTTCTGAATTTGTGTTAGACCACATATCCTGCGGAGCACCCATCACCCTACAGAGCCAAATGTTGAAGACAGCCAGTCTGTCAAGTGGAGGGGATGTTCCTGGGAAGAGACTGTAAAGGAGAAGCTCTTTTCCAGTCTAAAAAGGGCAGTGGTGAACCCTCCTTGGATCTTCAGGTCTCCTGAACCCCTGAACCAAGATATTTGGTGTTTCTGAAATTGATGATACTGGTTTTCATCAGCAATGCAATTCTGGGTGACTACGAATTTCCTAAAATGTAATCTAATTAAACACATTAAGATCCAGGAAGGTTGGAACTCCTTAAAACTGTTCTCAGGGAGAGAAGGGAGAGAAGTAATGGAACAATGTTCTGAATGTTAGATTTTTGATGATGCTCTGCTCCTGGAAGCTCGTGCAGTGGGGGAGCACAGAAACCTTTCAAGAAATCTGTGGATTCTTTTGTTCAGCTCTCTGATTTCTCTACTACCTCACCACTCTCCCTCTCTCTTTTTACTATTTCTCACCAGGGTATGGGAATATTGCTCCAAGCACCGAAGGAGGCAAAATCTTTTGTATTTTATATGCCATCTTTGGAATTCCGCTCTTTGGTTTCTTATTGGCTGGAATTGGAGACCAACTTGGAACCATCTTTGGGAAGAGCATTGCAAGAGTGGAGAAGGTCTTTCGAGTGAGTACTGCATCTATTTAAACCCTAAACTCTGCGATCTAACTGGCTTTTTAGCGTGATGGGATCCAGAAGGAATGATTACGGTGTTACCATATCATTGTCACTTTGAACGGAAGAGTTTAATGTTATAATCCTATTTTCTGTTTTGGCCAATGGTAGTCACAAGTACTGTGCCTAAACTTCTCTTTATCAGTTTCCTTCTTTACAGTGGTATTTCTGGAATCACAACACAAGAGGGTTAAGTATAGGTGTGCCAAAACAAGATTTTCTAAAGATGGGAGGCATATTCAGTTCCATCTTAAAGATGGAAGATGGGTTTCTAAGTGTATTTGCAATAAAGTAGAGAAGTAAATCCATTTGTTTTGTTATTGGAAATTCTTCATTCCTTTTTATTTCCAAGTCCAGTGTCTTTAGGCTGATCCTGGCTTCTAAGACCTCTTCCAGAAGCCTGCCTTTTCCAGATACTGCATCGTGCTTTGTATCCATCTCTTCATGGCCCCACCCTCTCTGTCCTCTCACTTCTGAGTGCTCTCTCAGCAATAGTACACTGATGTACTAATTTATACTAAGGTGTTGATGATTGCCAATATCTTGTGGGTTTTTTTCTTCCTGAGAATACTTACCTTTAACCAAGGGACAAAAACTCAACTCAAGGAATTTATTTACTGAAGATGGCATTCCTAGCCTCAGCGACAGGTTGTGGAGCAGATGTGATTGGCTTGGGGTTCTCAATGCCCTTTAACACTTATTCATACGATCTCACAGAAAGCTTGTTTGACTCAGGTGTAACATTGTTTCTGCTCTCTTTTTCATTATTGACCTCGTTCTTGAGTCTTTCAAACCTTCTTCAGGGAGTTGTTTCTGATGATGACTTAATTTTTAAAAATGACACTTTGAGACCTTTTCAGAATCTGGCAATGATGGGCACAGATAGATCAGTGGTGAGTTCTAATGTGCACTTGTTTTTCTCTCTGAGACAAGAAATCAGGACTTCTCTTTAGAAAAAGACAGGGGAGCTCCCCAGGTGAGCGGTTTCAGGTTTGCCAGCATGGAAGAATGGAGCAGGAGAATTAGCTTAGAGCTGCCTTTTATGAGCTCAGTGATGCTGGGTGAGCGGCCTCAGTTTACTCATCGGTGAGAAAGAGGAGGGTAGAATTCAAATCCACTTTAGAAGGTTTTGGTGATGATTAAATGAAATAATGTGTGGAAGAGAGCTTGGCACAGGGCCAGACATATAGAGTTCATTCAGATCTGCTGTGTATCTGTCTCCCAAAAGAAGCCCTTATTAGCAGCCTAGCCACCCATTCAGATTTCAATTGAGGAGCTCAGCGGCGCGTGGATGTTCCTGGAATGTCCCACAACCTTTGCTCCCAGGTGCTGGGTTGCCCAGCTGGCTCATTAGAGCATGCACTTGGGCTCAGTGGTCACCATGGAAACCGTCAGAGCTCAGCTTCTCTGCTTCTCAGATGTTTAGGTTTCCCTAAACCAGACATAGCAAGTCTCCGTCTCCAAACCCGTCTCCAGGAGCTGCTTTGAGCTTCTCGGAGGTGCCCTGTTAGCCAGGGCCTCATGGCCCTCCAAGGTAGAGAGGATTGAACACTCAGAAGAACAGGATTCAAATGGAGAAATGACTGCTCTGGCATTTTAAATTTTATGTAGCTGCTCTAGATCTCAGTTTCCTTATTTGTAGAAAGAAAGGGTTGCATTAAAAGCTTTTGAAGTACCCCGTTTAGGAAAAAAAAAATTAGTTACTATATTCTAAATGAAGGAAGAGATTGCAGTCATTGTGACCACATCTGCTACTGAATTTGGGCACTTAGTTTCCCCTAATGAATTTCAAACTAATTTTAAGGGAAGGAGTACTCATCTCCTTCCCTTAAAGCTGCCTCTCAGATGGATGGTTCAAAGGACTCTGGGACAGAGCCTTAAAAACCTTGCATTTCATTTTTATGCTGATGGCGCACTCAATTCCTTGCAGCACCATCAAAGACTGGGAGTCTTTTAGGAAGGAAATAGCAGTATATTATCGAATTGGCAGCCTGCGATGTATGCATTTGCAGAGCATTGGAGGAGGGTGCAGTTGGAAGGGGTGACTGAGTTCCAGGAGGAGTAGAAGCGCACTTCCTGAATACACAAACAACCCATCTGCACTTCACTGGCTGCCTGTAGTTTTGGTGGAGAATCTCAAAGCACTTTGCCACTCATTTAAACGACATCTCAAAGGCCAGCTACTCTTAGGTGATTACTTGAAAATTGAAAATTTTATAAACCAACGAAGTTGGGGGTTGTGGATTTTTAGTTCCTGTGGGGAGGGTACATTTTCCCCCCCATCCATTCAAGGATTAAGTCTTTTTCTTCATCTGCTTTGTTTTCTTTCAGGTGTAAGGAAGAGACGAATTTAAATGTAAAGATAAAATATAAAATAAGCCTTCTGGATGCCTGTGTTCTGAGGTCACATGATTTTGATCTTTCTACCACATCCCAGGCCTGAGCTTGGGTTGAGTTGCTGGAGGTTAATGTATTATTTAGGGATGCTTTTGGCTGCAGAGTAATACAATATCCGCCTATTGGGGTTTATATTGGATGAATAAATAAAGCCTTTTTTCCCTTCCCTTTTTTCCCCTTCTGAAATCAGAAATAATTGAGAAATAGACATGGGAGTCAGATGAAGATTAAGATGTCAGCTTTATTGCTGATAAGCTGATCAGAGGATGTAGCTTTTTTTTTTTTAAGATTTTATTTATTCATTTGAGAGAGAGAGAGTGAGCATAAGTGGAGGTACAGAAAGAGAGAGGAAGAAGCAGACTGAGAAAGGAGCAGGAAGCCTGATGCAGGGCTCCATCCCAGGACCCAGAGATCATGACCTGAGCTGAAGGCAGATGCTTAACTGACCGAGCCACCCAGGTGCCCTAGCTTTGGTTTTGATGCCAAAAAGACTTATTAACCACTTCACCCTGAATCAGAAGGACTTCCCTGCTGTATTAGTTTTCTACTGATGTGTAACAGATTATCACAAGTGCAGAAGCTTAAAGCAACATCCATTTATTGTATCACAGTTCTCTAGGTCAGAGTCCAGGCGGGCTTGTCTGGGTGCTATGTTCAGCATAGCATGGGGCTGAAATGAAGGTGTTGGCTGGGCTGGGCTCTGGATCTGGGGAAGAATCTGCTTCCAAACTCATTCAGATTTTGGCAAAAATCAGTTGCCACTGGTCATAGGACTGACTGAGATTCCTGTGTCCTTCCCAGTTGTCAGGTGGAGGTCATCCATGCTCAGCTTCTAGGAGATGTCTGAATTCCTTGGCACATGGCCCCTCCATATTTAAAGCCAACATGGAATTCTTGTGGTGTTTTGTATCTCTCGGACTTCCCTTTGTTCCTCTGCCACCAGCCTGAGAAAGTGCCCTGCTTTTAAGGGCTCATGTGATTTGATCAGGCTCACATGGATAATTTCCCTATCTTAAGGTCAACTGTGCCATATGATATATCATAGTCGTGGGAGTGATAGCTCACTATAGCAGAAGTCCTGGGGATTAGGGTGGGATATTTTCATGGGCCATTTTAGAAATTCCGTCTCTTCTAGTCATTGGCAGCCCAGGCCCTCTCAATGAGAGCGGGGTCAGCCCCACTAACCTTGCTAAATCATAGAGAGAAAATCAAAGTATACCTCTATGTAGCGGATGGTTTCAGATGGGACAAGAAGGGGGCTGAGGTGAAGGAGCTCAGTCCCTTCTGCTAAGTCCACCTGTAAGTCACTTGTCTGATTGAGCAGCCAGAGTGAGACTCTGGCTGAAGTCCTTCCACATGGAACATGAGGCCTGGAAAATGGACATTGCCCCAACACTGATTAACCATGGGTTTAAAGTTCAACACTTACTTATCTTGCATAGCAAGAAGCCTGGAGGAAGGTTGTTTCAAGTTTGGTGTATCAGTTCCCCAATGAGAAGTTCAGGATTGTGGTACCAATTCTGATGTGTAGATTTTTTCCCCCTACACCACCAAGCAATTCTTTGATGCCAGCTGGATGCTCTACAGTTCAACTCAATTCTGACTCTATCTACCTGGAGATAGCATCAGATACCATAAGTTAAGGGCTCAGTCCCAAGATGGCCCTTCGCTTCAGATGCCAGGCATGAGTCCAGGTTGTTCCCTATGCTTCTGACCATATGGCTGTCGATCACAGGTTCCCATGACCCACTCCTTGGGTTCAATAAATCTGTTAGAATGGCTCACAGAACTCAGGAAACCAGTTTACTCACTAGATTACAAGTTTATTCTGAAGGATTGTAGAGGATATAAGTCAACAGCCAGATGAGAACATGCGTGCGAGGTCCTGGATAAAGGAGCTTCTGTCCCCGTGGAAGTTGGGGCCTGGCACAGTAGTACATAGTTCCAGGTTCACCATACTGGAAGCTCCTTGAATCCCCTCCTTTTGGGTTTTTATGGAGGCTTCATTACATAGGTATGATTGATTCAATCATTGGCCATTGATGATTGATTCAACCTCTAGCCCTTCCCCACTCCTCAGAAATCAGGGGGTGGGATTGAGAATTCCAAACTCTATTTCTGGTTGGTTCCCCTGGCACCCAGTCCCCATCCCTAGGTGATCCAAAAGTCATGTCATTGATGTAACAAAAAACACCTTTGTCACTCTCATCACAGGAAATTCCGAGGGTTTTAGGATCGCTGTGCCAGGAATGGGAGGAAGATCAAATATTTGTTTCCTGTTATAAATCACAACTTCACACGAGTTTACCCATGTTTTGTTCTCTCTGCTCTGCTGTCCTTGGCATGTTGGCTTTTCATCCTCAGGCTTGTTACCTCTTGGTTTGCAAGATGGCTGCCTCAGGACCAATGTCATGTTTTCACTCAACCACATTTAAGGCAAGACAAAAGGTCTCCTTTTATGGGAGAAAAATCTGCCCCAGAAGTTACCCTGCAGACTTCCCTCTGTCTCACTGACCAGAACTGGGTCATATGACCATTCCCACCTGCAAGGGAAG